ATGAAACCTGATCCCACATCAATTTTAGAAGTCCGTGTTTGCTCTTCTCTTAATTTGTATACTTTAGCTTTTTAATACCAATTGTTACGCAATCATATACACTCTTGCACCTAAAAACTTTGTTTTTAGCAGTTCGTGTTTGATCTGTTTCAGATTGTATTGCTTTAAATACTGTCCGATTTTTCCAATATTTTATAAGAACACAAGAAGACTTTACTTAGATATATACTTATGTATCGATTTTTCCTCTTTTTGTTTGTAGACTATAGATAAAACATAATTTCTATTCAGTGTTTTTTTTATCTCAAGAAACAGATTACTTACTCTGGATATCAATTAAGTTGGTTTTTACCCATTCGTATTCAGCAATTGTTTCTAACGCCAGGAGATAGGAATTCTGTTCCTGACATTTGATCTGGAATATTGGAAGGAAAAACACTTTTTTTTGGTCTATAATCGTTTAACAATGACAAGCTTGCACGTAACAACGATCTCAATGTAAGCAGTAAAAGGGTGGTTGACTCAAAAAAGTCTTGACAACTAGGGCTACTTCAAGAAACTTTATTGTAGCATATACCTAACTCAGAAAAAGGTAAGGGGGAGGCTCTGCATTTAAAATGTGTGATATATTAACTAGAGTAACGAAAACAAGAAAAACCGGTAGAGGAAAACGTAAATTCTGCAAAATAACTGAATATGTATCTCTTTCTATATTGAGATTATGCTATATTTTCAGTCATAGTTTTGTAGATTTTAATAGACAGCGTTTGCCGTCGAAGCCGAAGTCATGGCGGGTTTTAATAAACGGTCAATAAATGGCAAAAACATTATACATGTATTAGGTCATCCGTAAAAGTTCAATTATATCATATTGTAAACTAATAAATACACTCACCTTTGATTCTTGAAATGTCAATTTTGTTGGGAATAATTTATAAAAGTGGTTCCCATACCTTAACCAACCTACAGATAATTAAATTTTATGAAATTGAACTCGCAAGTCGAGCGTTTTTAGTATGAATTTTTAACTTCAATCATGTATTACCTCTAATAATTTACAAAATATTCAAATTCATATACAATAAAACCTTGTTGTCTAACTTAAAAATTGAATAACCCAGGCTTTCAGATTATGAGGTTAAAATACCTACATGTATTTGATAACTTGAATTAAACTTTGTTGTTGACTAAATGTATACCACAGTCTAAGTCTGATTTCCATTGACCATTATACTGACAGATCAATTGACCGGTTCCTGATTGGCTGCCGGTCTCCAAACACTGCGCAGACATTCTTCTCTGGAAACCAATGGCGTCCCATCGCTTAAGGCTATTTATATCTGCACCAGGTATATTGGGAAATCCACAATCTGTTGAGTAATCAATATTGTAATTAACTTGCAACAAACATACTCTTATTTTAGGATCGGTAAATGGGGTATATTTTTTAAAACAATTTATGTTCTATGATAAATACCAAGGATTTTGAGAATGTCTGTTTGCTTTCCTTAATTTTAAACTTGATAAATAAATACGTTTTTGTGTTCAGGAAAATTTATTTTTGATAATCATTAAATCTCTATAAAAGTTGAGTTCCATTAAAATAGAAATTGCATTTTGTTCGGCTTGATTACTGAAGTGTACGCTTAAGATGACTGATTTCAGATAAGAACCAGTTTGTATATCGAACAGTATGACGAATATGCATTTAAAAATTAAATCAATAACAATTTATTTCTTCTAAGAATTTAAAATACAATTTTTTCACCTTTTCTAAAGTTTTATTTTTGATAATACATGAACATGTATTTATGAGGTCGAAAAAAAACCTGATCATTGTAATTTATTTATTTTTTTTTTTTAGTTATTTTTTTTTGGGGGGGGGATTTGTTTTCTTTTTTTTACGCCGGATCGGCAATACAGTGTATATCAGCTATATTTCGGCGGGACATTGTAGTTTAAATACAGATTGAAATGTATATAAAAGGAAGATATTTGTATACTTAAAAAAATTCATGTTTAAATATGAACCTTTCCACACGAACCTCTTCAACGGACTAAATTTTAAAATGTAAAAATTAATATTTACCTGACAATATACAGACAGTTATCACGGTAAAAATGGATGTGCATTTCTGATTGATCTCACAGTTAGACGCAGAACAATGTCCATCGGGTTCCTAAAACACATAAACATGTATGTACATTTATATAACTTGAAGATCAGTTTTTATATTTGCTGAGTGGCTATTTCATTTTTGAATGGGGTGGAGTGATGGTAAGAAATTTGTATTCCTCCTGGTTATGTATAAAAAGAGATCGGTCAGCATCCGGAGCCTTTTGGATATTTGCGATTTCTTTATTAATTGTAGCAACATTTCTATATTGGTCAGTTTTCCGTTAAAAGAGTTATTTGATTGAATATACCGTAAATCTGAAAATTTTTGCTGTAGATAAATTTTTAGCAAATTTGCGAGTTCTTTGTATTCGCAAAAATATTTTTCTTAAAAATAAAATACCAATTAGAAAATGTAAACAAAGCAGTGGTAATTTGCAAAATTTTGAAACGTAAAAATTAATCAACTCTATTTTGACCTGAATTCGCAAAATAAAATCGACGGAAAAATTTCCAGATTTACAGTAATTACATGTATTGAGAGATTTATTTTACACTGCATTACCTGATTCCAGTTCTCCTCCCTGTCACTATAGATCCACCCAATACTCCGAATGAATTTATCTGGAGCAGTAACTCTGTTTTCAAAATTTATTTCGCAATAATTACCTCCCCTGTAATAACCGACAGATTTACATCTTTTTGTTCTTGCACATTCGTCCATACAATCCCAAATACTGTAACCAGTAAAGGAATCTATCATGGTCCTATCCAACCTGTAGCCATGTTGAACTTTTTCTAACCATATCTTAACATTGGCGGTGCACAGTATGTTGAATTCGGTTAAAACATACATTAATTTAAAAAGATTTGGAATAAATCTTGCCATTACGTATACAATGCACTGAAATGTGTGTTGATGCGTGTACTTTTTTTTTTTTTTTTTTTTTTTTTTTACAAATCAATCAAAGTAGTAAAAGTTTGTGCTAATGTGGAAAACAATTCATGAATTATGAATATTTTAATTATGTTTTTAAATAAAAAAAGTTTGAAGAAAGAGCATTTTAAAAGTCACTTCGGATTATGCGCATTTAGATCAATACTTTTACATTGTAACCACAACGACGTGTAAACTTCTAACAAATGTTCGACCACCGTGCAATGTTTATTCAGCTTGAACCGAATACTTGTCTTTAAAGAAATAGAGGATTTTTAAAATAGATTATAGATTTTTTGCTACCTATTATACGTAAATATAGAGTTAAGTCATGTATTTTATTAATAAATTATATTTTTTGTTGTTTTTATTAAAAACGTTTATTTATTTATTTTAATACATTCATCAAAGATCTAAAGTTCGCAGACTTCCTGGCCTTCCACTGGAAATATCGTTTACTCGCCGAAGTTAGAGAAAAACAGTGTTAAGAAAATGTTAAATACTAAAACTGATCAAGCCTAGGCTTTTCAGTAGAAAATTTTATAGATTTTGCAAATATGACCTACTTCAATGTCAGACATGTAAAGTCCCAAGAACAATCGAACTTTTGAGAAAGGTGGAAATCTGTGATATTTTACACAAATTCTTAGACAGAAAGATTTGTTGGCGAAACAAAAAGTATTTGGGGGGAAGGCCTATAAGAAGTCACACAAATCTATACATATAGGCATTAACATAACGAAAAATTGTGTACGAAAAGTCCATGATTCCTAGATATTTTCAATTATAAAAAATAGAAAATAAAATCCGCCAACCCGCCCTAAATTTTTTAGCAAATTGGGATGAGAATCTAAAGATTAATTCTATCTGGCCTTACTGCAACAGGTTTAATAACAAGGAAAAACATTGTTGAACAAAACAGTTCAATAACATACACAAAGCACCGCGTTTTCGCAATCCGATAAAAATTAGAAAAATCAAATTGAGACAGATCATAACGAAAAGCAACTGCTTAAATCCTAATAAACGGATTCCCGATTTCATAATAGCAAAACGTGAGACGTATTTTGGAATCGGCATCCGTACAAAATACGGCGAATAAGTAAGAGTAAACAGGTCTGCACTTGGAGCATTTCGGATTGTTCGTACCTCGCACACTAACCTCTATCTTTGCTAGTAAATGGTTTCTGATACGTTGCTCCCCCCATACACCTCTACACATTCAATACATGTAACAGTAACGAAACCATGATTTAGATTTTTTGGATTATTGAAGTCGACTTTGTTTAAATATAGTGATCACTTTGACACAATAATGAATAATGGTATTTGACCTGGCTTTGACTTAGTACTAAAGCAAAAGCTATGATATTTTGATGTGCTATAGTTAAATTAAGAAGTTAACAATTATTCTTTTTTGTATCTTTTTAATGTGTATTATTTTTTCTGAGAAAAAAAATGATATGGACATATCAGCTTGAAAAAATGACATCAACAAAATAGATAAATTTAAACAAAACTGTTCCCAATTAACTGATTTTTTAAAGAATATTTAATATGTTAAAGTTAAGGAGACATATTTATTCCAATATGTCTGAGTAAACATATTTTTAACGTCAAAATAATGTCTTAGTACAGTGTATATGAGACATATAGAAATGAACATTAGTCACTAAATCTGAACTCGGTAAATATGCTACCAAATCTTCTTTCTTTAACATAAGAAATCCAATGAAGTTTTAATCTTATTTTTAATGTTGTTGAACAATGTTTATTCTCACATTCTCAGACTGTTATATAAACTTATTACAAAACATTTTAAAAAAGAAGAAAATAGTATCGTGAAAGACTTTTCCAATTTAATTTAAAGAAAATTTTTAAAACATACTTACATAAACTTAATACCTTATTATGAACAACAACAAGAATTCATCATACATGTACTTTATTTTAGACCCTGTTTGTCAATTGTTTGTGTTCAATATTTCTACAGTATTGATACATGTATATACATTTTTTTTTAATTTATAGTTCACTGATTAGAGTAGATTGTGTCTTCAGTCTCTTCTTCGTGTGTTTCAATATATTCCATTACAGCAGCATGGATCATCTTGTACTCTGTCTGTAAAGAATATTTATTTTTAAATAATGAACGAAAACCATACACCATATAGTTTTGTTTTTAACCTTTTCAATTTTAAAGGAGTTTTCCATTTTTTCTTCTTCGCATAATGATGTAATATTAAACCAACATCGATAATTGGATTTAAAAAGAGATCAAATAAAAAAAAACAATATTTTTTTGAGTAAAAAGAGATTATTTCTTACAACAATTTCTTTGGGATATACATTGGTGCGGTATATCTTTGCAGCTTTCCACCAGGAAGTGCTGGGGTCTCCATACGAGTAAAAAAATCACGAGAGGAACGTTAAACAACATACAAACAGAACAATATATTTACCCAAGTAGAGCACAACTCAGGACGCCTTATTTGTAACTGGCGAACAGTGGAGAATATATCGATTTCTTCATCAATTGACAACTGTTGCAGGACATTATATACAGCACATAACACTCCACACATTGCTGCACCGTCGCTGAATGAGATGATATTTTATCATGTCATTACAAACGTTCAATATATATCGGCATTGGATTGTCATCTGCCTCAATATTTTACTTTTGAATTTTTTATTGCTATTTTCTCTAAATTTACAAATATATTTATGTTGACATGCAGTACACGTATTATTCCATAAAATTAATTCTCATTTTTCAAAAGATTTGAAAAAGTATATTGTACGAAAAAGGATTATTAAATCAGAAATCAAGTAATAAACAAAGTACATATACTATCCAAACCCCTAAATAATATAATCAAATATGACAAGAGTTTTGTTAAAATATTGCGAAAGCTATACTTGTCCCCTACATGCAAGCTTAAGTGTTATCTACTTGACCAATAACTAATCAAAGTCACACACCAAAACATGAACTCCACATAAGCAAACTTTAAGGGGGAGGAGGTTGCGAAAAACCCTTAAAAAATTAAAAAGGTCTTAATTTGTTTATAAATCATTGAACACAAACGCAGGTTTAATCTGTAACTCACCTGATACACTCACATACCAATCGGACAGACTGACGCAAAAGAAACCCTAAAACCACCTCTGGTTTCAATGGTAGGGGAATAATTATTACTTTATTAACAATAAATCACTAAAAAACCCCACTGTGAATACTGTATCCCTTACATTTTCAGAGTTTACATAACTTTGTTTACCCCCAACTGTTAATGAAAGGCCCAGGGGCCACATCGCTCATCTCAGCAACTTCCTAGCTAAAAGCTAAAAATCAGTTCAGTATTGAAAAGTTTAAAAATATTATAAAAGTTGGCTCGAGGGAGAGGGGGGGGGGGGGGGGAACAAACTTAAATCTACCCTTCTTAGAATGATTTTGACATAATGGCTCTGTTGTTTATTGTAATGATCCATTTTAATGATGCTTTTAAATTATTGATCAATTATTGCTTGATTAAGAATTGTAAAGATTTTTCACATGTATTCCTATGTAAAACTCTGATACCCCATTTTGGACCCACTCTACGCCAGGGGGTCATGATTTGAACAAACTTGAATCTACACTACCCCGAGGATGCTTCCATATAACTATGAGCAATCACAACTTTGCTGTTCTCAAGAAAAGATTTCGAAAGATTTTTTCTACGTAATCCTACTTTGATTACCCATAATGGCCCCACCCTTGACCCAGGGGTCATAATTTGAACAGACTTGTATCTTCACTACCTTGGGATGCTTCCATATTACTATGACCGATCACGGCTCTGCTGCCTTTGAGAACAAGATTATTTAAGATTTGATACTATTGTGGCCCCACTCTACCTCCGGGGGGGGGGGGGGGGTTATGATTTGAACAGACTTCAATCTTCACCACCAAAGGATGCTTTTACATGAGATTTTAAAAGATTTTTTCCATGTATTAACCATGTATTCCTATGTTAAAATTTAAAATTTGATACCCCACTGTGGCCCCATCCTTGTCCGGGGGTCATGATTTGAATAAACATGAATCCTCACTACCAGAGAACGCTTCCACATAAGTTTCTATTCTCCTTGCCCACTGGTTCTTTGAGAAGAAGATTTTTAAAAATACCATTAATTAATCAGTAATTCATAATAATCTCCCTTTGGAAGAGGGCGCGGCACTTCATTTGAACAAACTTGAATCCCCTTTACCCAAGAATACTTTGTGGTAAGTTTGGTTGAAATTGGCCAACAAATTGAGAAAATGAAAATGTTAAAAGTTTATGACAACGACAGACAACGGACAAATTTTGATCAGAAAAGCTCACTTGAGCCTTCGGCTCAGGTGAGCTAAAAAGTCTAAGATAAAGGGGGAGGGGAAAATCAGGTTTTGAACATTACCTGCTCATCACTGTGACAGGACCCTCTTTTCCATTTCCTAAGATGATTGAGACCATTTCAAGCAGTTGTTTGACACATTGTCCTTCGTTGGACTGAAAGCTGCAGGTAGGCTCAACCACCTCAACAGCGTGATATTTTTCTTGCTGAAGTGGGAAAAAGGAACCGAAGAACGTCAATTATTTATAATACTACAAGACTTCTTTAAAAGTTTCAAAATGATATTTGCTTTTTTGGTAGATCGAACTGGTAAACATTCTAATTGTATTTACAGAAAGTAGCCCCTATAAAAATTGTACAACAGAGAAGCGCATTTATGGCAATTGGAAAATCAAAAAAAAAATATAGAAACCTATCCATCAAAAATCAGTTTTGTATAATTATAAATTGTGTCATATAGATATAGAAAAAAGAGCATCTCTGTCCATCTTTTTAAAATATCTCACTATATACTCACTTCCTTTGTCAAAATATGAATAGTGAAACACTTTATGAGATTTGTCAAGTTTCCTTGTTGATACTGAACGGTGAATGGCCCTATACATTTAGATCCAGCGGAGTCGGGCAACCATGCTTCGCTCTGAAAACATGTTAAGATTAAACATCAAGCATTCTGAGAGAAGTGCAGAAACAATATATGTCTTCTATCGGGATCTCTTTCTCTTAAGGATGTCATTCATAAGATTTGTTATATGAAAATGTGCCCCCAAACTACGGACATTTCGGTATTAATCTTTGGTTACAGTGTATAAATTAAATGTCATGGAAGAGATTGAACCATAATATTTTTCTAAGGATAAAAACCAATTCATATCTTATCAGATAGGTAACAAATTCATGCTTTGTAAATTTTAAATGTATGTACATACTGATTTAACACCACTCAGAGGGTTCATGGAAATCACAGTATCAGATTCATGATCGATGAGCAGACGAACAAGGTCAACAGTGTCATCTAGTGGTGGATAATGCGTAACAATAAACTTGTGTCTCTGGGTGTATGACTGAAGATAAACATTAAGCATAACATCAGAAATATTTCCAGTTTTTTCAGATATACATAATTTTCTTTTTTTTAAAACTATATTCAAAGGAATTAAATTACAATTCGCAGTATCATACTAAGCCTATACACACGGGAAGAGAAATTGCGTTTATGTAGTTTCCACGCCTTCGCACGCTGGATGGCAAAAATAAACTGTACTTGTCCACTAAAATAAATATAAAAAAACATATCAAGACTTTTTTTTAACAAAACGCCTATCTTAATTATGTGGAATCTAAAAGTGATGTACACGTATATGACCACTGATCTAAAAATAATACAATTCTGTGAACAAGGGCATAAAACACCTTTAAATTCCGGTTGTAAGGTGGGATTATGGGTCTAGGAAAACAAAGTTACTAAAAGAAGGGTACTAACGTGGAAGAATCCGAACATCTCCTCTGTTGAATTGCCTGCTGAGTTTATAATCATCCTCTGTATACGATGGACGAACTTTTAAAAGATTCTGAAAATAAAAGGGGGGATGCAATATATTTGTGTAGATTTCACCGCATGAGACATGTTGCATAATTATAGGGTGTATATTACCTGAAACTCTTTTCTTAATTGACTGTGGTTTTCCGGTTTATTTTTCTTCATTTCGTCATTCTTTCCCAAGAATTCAGTTTTCTTCATAACTTCTGGTGCGGCTTTAAAGGCATGCTCCAGTACCAGGTATATAGTCATGTATTGCTCCTAGATAGATATTTACATTGGTATTTTTTTAATTAGCAACGTAGTAATATATAATAAGAATTGATATTCTCGATTATATGATTAATTTTATATGCATAGAGAAATCACTCGTATACATATATACATTGAAATCGATAAGGACTGAAAGCAAGCTGAACAAGCATTCTCAGAGTATTGCATTGGTAATACTAGTGAAAAATGATTGATTGTTGGTGTTTTACGCCGAGTCGGCAATATTTCAGCCATATTTCGAAGTCTATCAGCAAGATAAACTGGTTCTCGTTCGAAACTCAATATGCCAAAATTTAGTTGAAAATCATTGAACATTGCAAAAGATAACTTGATCTATAATTCCTCAGGATATAACCACTTACTAAAATTCAGCTTAATATCTGCATGCGTTCAGGGGGAAAATGCGGAAAACCAAGTCGGAACAGACAGTCGGATGGAGCGACGCAGAGGAAACTTAATAGTCCCGTCCGATTTCACCGTATAGCCCCCCCCCCCCTCAAATAACAAAGTAAGCCTACATCAGTATTGTTAGGAAATACTGTATGTGTACATACATTGTAAGTTGGCGTTTTAAAAATTTAGCGCAATCAATGGATATGGAGCTGTTGGCGTTATCACGAATTAGCGCTACACATGTTTGTGCCGTATATTCTACACATTAAATTTTCTTAGCTGTATTCATGAATTGTTGTTTGCGCCAAAGCCGCCAAAATATGAAGCCCGCTATTTTAATTGCACATACGTACAGTATATCCTAGAGGACTTTTGCGAGAAACACTGACTTTTGCCAACAGTTGACGGTTTACTTGGGCATTTAAACTTGTATCATGTATGGAGGTACAGAATTGATATTAGGAATTCGCGGCTATGTTAAGGAAGCATATAAGTCATTTTTCGGTAAATTTAGACTTTTTAAAGAAAATTAAGTTTGATAATTTAGCAAAACCGCTGAAGAACGTAAACTATTATTTTCTAATGCATGAAGATAAAAGAGTGTACAAAAGCAATGACGTGCACCACCACCACGGCATCACGTGACGTCTATTAATAGCGAAATTTTCCTCAATAAAAAAACTAACAGAACAACAATACTCCGGAGTTTGATAAATTCTTTGAGTAAATAATGTTGTTGAAAAACATCTATTTAGCCTAAAAAGTGCTGCTAGAATCCAACTGTCTCGTCAGTAAAATAATTATTTTACACATTCGCACGAAACCTTACCCGATGTTTTGAATTTTTTACATATAAACCCTGATTTTTCATAAAACCATGCTTAACTCGGGATTCTAGCAGCACTTTCCAACTATTTTAAGAGGCAAACTTTCCATATGTACAAATCTTATGTTTTGAAATATTCAGTTTATTGTTGTTCTGTTGCATTATTTCTGTCACAAATGGCAAATGAAAGGCCGACCGTTATACGTATATAGCTGACTGTCTTTGAAAGAGAATCAAATCGTTGAAAATAAATTAGCATACCTGTTTTATTAACTGAACTCCATATGAATATCACAAAATATTAACAATATTTGCTGTTAAACTCCATTTTACGTATTTTTGTAAATGCCGTACTAGCCAAATTCTCTTTACACGGCATGATCGATTCCCAAGTTACTTGATGTACATAAATGACGTCATCGGTAGTAGATTTAAATAAAAATGACAGAATACAGCATTTCAAAATGAGAGCGTTTTATTTTTGTTAATGTTTACATGTTTCTTTTCATTTTCTAGAGTTAAATTACATCTCTAAATACCAATATTACGAAAACGTGTGTTTTAAAATTGACGTCATCTCGCCTACTATGACGTCATAATGTAGCACTGATTTAAGCAAGGTAGAATATTTTGTATGCTTCCTTATTCCCCCTGCAAAAGCCTTTTTCGTGGTCATAAGTATGCTGTTAAGGGCACTAACATGTGAAGACCGGAAGTTGAGGGTAGAGTGGTTGTCGTTTTCTTCAAGGACAACTTGTATATGCTTTGAAATAACCAGTTATTTTCGTTGAATTGAGTGTTGAGCTAAATATTTATATCGTAAAAGAGCTCCCGTAAACTGTCTATTAGTAAAAACAAGCCGTCAACTGTAAAAAAAAGCAATCTTAGCAAAAGTCAACTTGGCTAATGTTTTTCCATACCATTTTTAGGCTTTTGTTTTTATAAACCTAAATTGACCACATGATCAATAAAAATGGACTCAAGCGGGTGTAATCAGTCAAAAGGGCAGCTTATTCTTCACAGGCTCCTTATCCCACCTCTGGAATTTGTAGTGATCTGTGTAAAGTGCCCTCTACAGTCAACTCCATTATTTATGGAATTTTTTTTTTTAGATAAATCACTGTTTGATATATTCTTCTTTTACATCGGCAAAAGATGGAGTCAGCAACCACAGTATTGCTTAATTAATTTTACGAGTTTTAAAATCATTTTACGATTTTTTATATCATTTTTAAACCATCTTTCTTTACTGAATCAAAACTTATTTTCGGAAGTAAGTTGCTACATGTCTGGTGTTTAAAAAACCTTTTTTTACTTTTTACCATGCAGGTAAATTGTTGAGCTCGTGTGTGAACACCAAAACAGAAAACTATCCAGCAGCAAACTGACACCATTCAAGAGCAAGCGGAATTCATTCATCACAGGAAAGTTACGTTGAATAAGCTATAAATAAGGCTAACAAGAGGAAATATATAGAATGAAAAAAAGCTTTCCAACAGAAGAGAAGTGCCGTAATTTTTAATGTCCATTTATTTTTGTGAATATTGGTCAAAAAATTTACGAACTGTCATTAGCGCTATTTTTGAGGGTTAACGTTAACGCAATATGAAGTGCATTCTTTAATCTCGACAGTAATTTTTAAATAAGTAGTCACTGCTGAAGTGCACAAAGGTATACACAAAAAAACATGACGTCACACTAAAATTTTAATTGTACTCACATACGTCTGAACCATATTCATTCGATTTTCTCTTATACTCTTCACGAATTCCGGAATGTTGATTGTCCTGTCCTTTAGTCCAGCCTTATAGAGGGCATCAATAGAAATATAAGTCCCCGACCGACCGATTCCAGCGCTAGAAATGAAACGTGTTCTGTACAGAGAACAGACCAACAACACTGCATTCACAAGTCTTATACATCAATAGATATTCCTAGCTCAAAAGTCCATAAAACAATATAAAATAGGAGCAGAGCAGACCTCAAAAACAACGGTAGTGGGATCAGGTACGATGGAGGATTAAAGAGAAAATAGACCATAGGTCCTATACATACGACTGGGAAAACAAAGTGCCATAAAGAAATCAGCAGGAAATAAATCTTGCTGAGAAATATTTTATTTTGCCGAGTTCTACTGAATCTTCGTAAAATAATTAGTTTTCACTTGACCTAAATTAAGCAAAAGTTACCTCCCGTTGGCAGCCATACTGGAGGTCCAAATGCTCATATTGCTTCATTGTTCAACCAATTTGAAATTTTTTATATTTTGAATTAGGAATCATTAATTTTCTGAAGTATATAAATTTTTGGAACCCTCCTTTATTTAAAAAAAAAATATTTAATAAAGATTTTCCACCAAATATTTCTGCTGTATTTTCTTAAACTTGGTAAGACGATGGAAGAGAGAAAATAGGCCATCAGCCTATACATCGACCTGGGAAAAATATGGCGACCATAAAGAAATCAGCAGGAAATAAATCTTGCTAAAATTAGGTTAATCGAAAACTATCTATAACAGATTGAGAAAATTTATTCACTGGACAATGAAGAAATATTTAAGTTATATGGACACTCAAATAGTCCGTCGTTGCCTGGTGTGGATCCGCAAATTGCCTTTCAAAATGCTTTAGTCAATTCATGTTGAATTCCTTATATAACGATAAACATTCAAAGACTATTCCACAATTAAAACCAGACGATCAGATTGTCTCAATAGAGCCGCGAAGTAAAGAGTGTATCCTTACGTCAGGTGGGTTCGAATCCACCTTTAAAGACCGGTTCTTCGGAAGAGACCATATAAATCGAGGTCCCGTGTTGCAGTAGGTGCTGGTACGAATTAAATCCCTCAATGTTCAACAGCTCTATATGTGACGCATAAAGTATTATTCTGCTGCCTACCTCCAAGTCATTTTTCAGAAATAAACATATTTGAATATTTTTGCCCATACATATAGATGTTCATGTAATTTTTTACAAAACATAATTTGTGATTTAGCAAAACACATTATTTGGAAAAATAAAGATTGTTTATGTTTATGGGCCAAATTTTTGTTCGTTCAGAAATAAATACCGATTTGTTGGGATTTACTTTTGTGAATGACAGATTTTTTCTAGTTTCTGTGTTCAATGAAATTTTACATTTAAAGGAAACAAAGATTAATTCGTTTGTTTCCTTTTACAAAGAGAAGGAAGGAAATTTATCACTAAAGAAAAAGGTGATTTCAGACTGGAAAAACAATTTTATGGACTTTGACGGTTTTTGGCACACTACTAGCACGTTTTTTTCCTTAAAGAATCTTGCCTCTTTTTCTAAGAAACTTCTATTAGGTTTTCTTCACTTTTTTTGGTGATAAATATTCGATTTTGTAAAAAAAAAAAAAGGTAATAGAAGTCCGATTATTGTTTTGAATACCTGCAATGTACCAGAGTAGGACCTCTAGCTTTACTACTTTTTGCTCTTTCCACGTGATTATGAAATACAACCAGACAGAATGAATCTGGGATTCCGTGATCCAACCAGGCAGTGAAGTGATACTGCTGTACAACAGTCATCTCTTTCAACTGAAAATTAATTAAATTGACTTTCACTCTACATGATGTGAGATATTGAAATGCATCACCGTTTAAGTGAGTAAGTATATCTTTCAGGCTATACTCCATTATATATATTCCAAGATGAGCATTAATATATTTTATTTTTTAAGCATTATCATTACATATCAGTTGGTCAAATAAATGAATTTTACTGTTGTTTGTTATTAAAAATATTACCTTTTTATGAATGAGCCTTACAGTCCTGATAACATAGAATGCATAATGTTTCTCGTCGACTGTATGTAGAGAGAATCCGCCTACAGTGATTGTCACCCCTACATCAGGCCAGTACTGATGACATTTTGCCTTAAAAAATAATTAATTTTTTCTGTATTTAGTGTTTAAGGATATTGCATATCTCAATACATTATACAGAAACTCTAGCCGACTCATGTGAATAATCTCGCAACCATCTTAAATTGTGATAAAAAAGCAACAACAAATTGGTGACCGATATTAAACGATAATGTCTCCCACGTTGGAAACAAAGATGTGCATTAATTAAAAAATGACCTAGTATACATCAAAACCAAAATTCACCTTGTTTCCTTCTTTTAGGTTGGTCAACATAACAATCTGTGTGACTCTTTCCTGCCAAACCATGGCCCAAAAATCAGACATAGTATTTTGCTTCGGGCCTTTGCAAAAAGATAAGTCACAAGTTTACGTTTATGTTCTTCTGAATAGTTATTTTAAAAAGACATACCTTTTCAAGTTAAATGGTTTACGAAAAATAATCGTACCTTCAGCTGCTATATATGCATTTTCCTCCTCTAAACCCTATTTTAATGTTAAAATATTTTAAAAAGAATAAAATAGGCGGGGTAAAAGATATGCATATCCGATAAACTTTAAAATAAAACCGTTTGAAATTTATTTGGAAACTTGATTCAACAATAAAATAACTTACATTGATATAATTGGCATTGATATAGTCTGACTCCCCATTTTTTAATTTGACGCGTGTGTGGTCATCTGTGAACAAACACAGAAAAAAAAATCATGATAACTTCCAGCATTTGAGAAAATGAAAAGTACATTGAAATTGATAAAAAAACAAAAAAAAAAAAAAAAAACCCAAACAAAACGATCACTCAACTATTTCAGATTTAAAACAAGATGTGCTTGTTAAACACTATGGGCCCGGCAGTAACCAATTTGAAAAGCTATTTTAGGAAATATAGGTCACAGTCAAAAGTCACAAGGTCATTGACCTTCGTGTCGTTTGAAAAAATTAATTAGTGGAGTACGCAAACCAAATATGAAGTCTCTATCTCCTATGGTATATAAGTTATGGCAATAGTTCGAAAAGCTATTTTTAGCACATAAGTCATAGCCAAAGTCCCAGTGTCATTGACCTTGGTGTCATTTGAAAGCTTTCGAAGTATGCATACCAATCTATCTCTAACGGTTCAAAAGTAAGACAATAGACAGACAGACAGACAAGATAAAAACAATTATATAAGCCCCCGATCTATTGATCAAGGTGCATAATAAACCAATTCCTTGAAACACATGTAACTTCTATCATAAGTAGTGTGTGTTAAAAAAATATAATCAATATACAGTTCAACCTCATTATCTCGAACTCCAGGGGACCGATCAAAATCGAGCTTTCTAAGTTTATTAATTATTATAATTATTAATTATTAGGTAAATTGACGTGATCAATTCAAATGATTAGCAATTTCGTCATAGATTCTTGCAACTAGCACATTTGTGATGTTAACAAACATTTTTTTCGGACCCAGAATAAGGCAGAATCATTGTACATCTGTTTATTACTTACTGTATTTTAAATATTAAAGATGTCAACTGTTATTATGATGTGGAATTATAAGCAAACAAACGTGTCAAGTCTTAGAAAGAGATGTATTTGGTTTTCTACGAATGTTATCAAATATTCCCGTTTAACATTCAACAAAGATCCTCAAACAGTAATCATTTTATGTACGCGGAAGAAAAAGATATTTTTAAACGCTCTTATTGATCTCGTTGCTTCTTATTTTGCTTTATGCCTTCATTCATTTAGTTGTCTGTTATCTCAAGAATTTTTCATTGATGAAGACTCCACCACTTGCTGGTCGAGAATTACAGATTTCGACCCATGTTCGCCACTCTGGCTCATTCCACAGTTAAGGATCTTTTTCGTGCCAGCAGCTACTGCGACACGGGACCTCTGTTTATACGGTCTTTTATGAAGGACCGATCTCCACGTCCCAGTGTTAATCATACCTTCGATGCAATAGCAAAATCTGATACATGTTTTGGACTCAACATCCAAAAAAAATACTGCGAAATCGTAATAGTAAACAGGTCTGATATATCGTTCCGGCACTGCAAATTCAAGCGTCTATTATTAATAAAATGCTTTTAAGGAAATTAATTCTCTTATATACATAACTTTAAAAAAAAGCAATGAATTTGTTTTCTGATTAATTCGGAACTTTTCCTTCCTCAATAAAACTTACAAGGTAGTGAGGTCTGATAGCGGTTCTTTGCTACGTTTCCTGGCAGACTTCCGGCATCGCATGTGTATTTCTTTCCATACGGAAGTGCCTGTTACAAACCATTGTAAATACATAAAAAAGGAAACTATTATTAGTATCTATATGCTATCGTAAATCATATAACATAAATATTTCCGCAATTTAATTTGAAAAAGCTTTTTTTTCTTACAGCATATTCTCGTTTAAACCCGTCATTATCCTCCTTGCGTTTTTCCACTATTATTTCCTCGAGTTTTTCTACTGAAATATCAGGAAGGGTGTCCACATTGTAGTACATGTCTTCATACGGATTATCGTCATGCATTCTTCCCTCGTCGTCAGTATCATTGTCCGTATCATCGTGCTTGCTTTCTCTGTCTGGTTTTGTTCTTGAAGATAGAGTTCCATTTACATGTTCCTTTTCCACATTTTGATCTATTGTATTCTTTTTAATAGTTTCTGCATTAACTAAAATAATTAAGAAGTATGAAAAAATATGTTATAAGGAAATTTATTTACTTTATGTTATTTGTTTTCAAATGTAAGATATTAATAATGATGCATGGGTTTTTTGGCTCAAACTGAACTTAATTAAATTTAAATATTTTGCATACTTCTGTATGAAAAAAATAGTTTGCAATGAAAGGGGAAAACTGTAACATACGTGATTGATTTGAATTCAGGTTCATATTTTGTTTGCTTCGATCGGAAAATCTGAAATTGTCAATTACATTATGTAGAAATAAAAAGGTTCTAATATACACACAATTCAACGAAAAATAACTTATTATTTCAAACATCTATCATTTTTTTATTTAAAAATTGTCTTAATTTTACTATATTGTGTAAAAAAAAATCTTATAAAACTTTTATAAAAATTTTCACTTTAAGTGTATCTACCTTGGGACCCAAATATATACTGCTATTGTAATGGCGATGGAAAATACTGGAGCTAGAATTCCACCTGCGATGGCGAGTGCAGTATAAATTATATTGTCTTCAGCCTAAATGCGAATGTAAAAGTATATAGACAAATTAATTATTAATACTTTTTCTACACCAATAACAAAATACACAGCACATTGAATTTTATTGTTTTTATACTGAATTTAAAAAAAATGCAAATCGAAGTTTTTAGCCCTACAAGTCCAAGACAAGAAGAGCTTATGCGGTAGTAATGCGTCCGTCGTCCGTCCGTCTGTCTGTCTGTACACAATTTTTCAATATTCTACTCCTCCTACAGTTTTCGTCTGATTTCAATATAACTTGACATATAAGTAAACTACACTAGGATACATAATTCTGTATATCGGTTTTTGATTTCGAAGAACGGTGTTGCAGTGGTTACTAGAAATAAATATTTCTCGGAAATACATTCAAAACGCTACTCCTCCTACAGTTTTGGTTTGATTTCAATATAACTTGGCACACAAGTAGACTGCACTTAGATACATGATTCCATATATCGGTTTTTGATTTCGATGAACGGTGTCGCCATGATTACAAACAAACTGATATTTCTGGGAAATGCATTCAAAACGCCACTCCTTCTACAGTTTTGGTTTGATTTTAGTATAACTTGGCATACAAGTATACTAAGTTACATAATTCTGTATATCGGTTTTTGATTTCGATAAACTGTGATGCTTTGGTTACTAAAGATAGAAATTTCTATGAAATACTTTCAAAATGCTACTCACAATACATTTCTAGTCTGATTTTAATATAATTTGGCATGCATCTAACTAAATTGAGATACAAAGTTATCAGTTTTGTGTTTTTGATTTTGATGATTGATGTTGCCGTAGTAAATGAAATTGAAAATTCTGTGAAGTTTTATTAAAAGTTATTTTTACAAATGTAGTCTTATTGCAATCTTGCCCCAAAAAGAGACTTGATCAAGGATCATTATTCTATTGGTTGCTTTTGTAAAGTTTTAAGTCCCAACTGCATGCTACTTTTCTCTTCCTTTTTTTTTTTTATAAGTAAAAACCAGTAGAGCTACAGTCTCGACAGAGACTTCTGGTTTAATCTGTTTTATGATTTTTTTTAATTTATGGAGATGAACACTATTCAAGCTCAAAAGTCAATTAAAACAATACAAATTTAAGAGGAAAAATGGGCCTCGAAAATGTCAGAGGTGCAGAATCAGGTTCCAAGGGGTGGTGAGCATCCCTGCTGAATTATTTATGGAATAAATATAAAAAAAAGTAATTCGTGCATAAAAAAATCCTTAGTAGTGATAACGTTATAGGTTATTTTACATACTTTAGATGTGTAACACTCTCCCGTATCATGGTAGCACGTCTGATTTACACAGTCCGTACTGCAATTTTCTTTACAGTTTACTCCCCAAAAGGTTTCCTCACATTCTACAACAATTGAAATGTACTAAGTCGTACGCATAGTTTCGACAACAATTTCTAAAATGAATGACTACTTGTATATCTCAGCAAGTATCAAAACACATTACTCTCTACGCATGACGACCCCTGGTACCCAGATGAACACCCAGCGATACAAGTTCCGTTCACGTGATGGCATTGTCGATTACCGAAGCAATGTCCACATCTCTCTGTACAATTGACACCAAATGTCCTACCGTCACATTCTACAAAGATTATAATGTATGTATATTATAACGGTGCCTGTTTTGAAGGGAAACGGTAGAAATGACGCGTCAGCAGAGGTTAACAATGGTTTTCTTAGGGGTGTCAATTTCACTACTTGTAAATACATTAAAAATAGTCATCGTATATTGTTTTATTTATTTAGGCTGTCATCATAAAAAAAAGTTTGGGTTTTTTAACATTTCAATCTCCAAGCTTTTGTTCTTCTCAAAAGAAACTTTTTTTTTAATCCATCAACCTCCTTATTGTTTTTTTTGAAAATCAAAGTCCCTTTTCATTGAAAGTTTCGATTGTACTTGCAAGCACTTTTCGTCTTTTGCTTGTTCTTTTTACTGCTTTAGGAACATAGGACGCAAGCTTCAATTGACGTCAAGCGTATTAGATTTACTTCAAATACACAAGTATTTAGAAATGCCCGGTGAACCGTATGCACATACAGTAGTAGTGATTTATAAATATGTGACACTATTCACCTGATACCTATTTTCAAATGCGTTGATTATTATGAATCCTTATCAATGTGATGTTCGTATTCAATAAAGAGACGTAGAAAAAAAGCGGAAGTGAAAACTCTTAAACCTTTTAAACGAGACGTAGACGCAGCTCGTCGGAGATTTTTGTCTGTTCATGGTTTGCTTCCCTTCGATTCCTTGTAAGTTAATTTCCACAAATATAAGAAATGTTATAGCAAAGCAATACTTTGGAACGCGATAAGGCTCTATCTGTCTGAACAAACAACATCCTTGTTTGCAGGGATTTAAGGTGTTCATAGATTTTTTTTAAAAATTAGAACCTGTGTGTTTTCATGTGAAAGACGTGCAAGTTGCGTGTATTCATAATTACCATGGTTACAGTTAGGAGGATTCCATCCTGGTTTACAACTACATTCCCCGTTGAATCTATTACACTCGTTGTCAGGAACACAGTTTTCGCTGCATCTTCTCCCGCAATTTTCTCCGTAATATCCATCTTGACATGCTGTTTATTCAATAGAAAAATAAATTTTGTAAAACAGAACGATTTTTATTTTATTTATAAAATATCTGGTACATGTATAGCGAGATAACGACCAGTATTCAAGCTCAAAAGTAATTTGGGAGCAGAGTAAAATGGACCTCTTAAACATTATAGGTGCATGGGATTAGGTGTCATATTGGAATGAATAAGATTATTAACATTAGTCGCAAATGGAAGAACATTTACCCTGCTCGCACGTCGTGCCTTGAAATCCTTCTCCACAACCGTTTAAACATGTGCCATTGACATGATGACATGTCTCTCCTTTTCTACAGTTACCACATGATGAAGAACACCGAGATCCATAATTTCCGGTACTGCATACTTATGATGAAAAATAATACATGTATATAGTTGTACTTGATAAAACATATGGATATGACATACAGTAACCAATCTCAAAAGTCCATTAAACAATACAATATAGGAGCAGAGTAAACACATATTCTTGGAACTACATGCTGTTTAAATAAAATCAGTACTGTTTCAGACATGAATGGATAAAGGAGAATATTGGGGGAAAATCTTGTGATTGGATTGAGAGGTCATGAGGCTTTGCATGTAACAATCCCTCCAAGGTGGCTAATTGTTTAGGCCATCTTAAAAAAAATTTTTGCAGACCCTCTACTGAGAAAGAGTAAAATAATTGGAATGTAGGTAGGTGGGAAAATTTTTTCTAAGACAATTTCAGCATATTTGTGGACAAAATAAGAAGAATACACAGAATAAAAAAAATCGTTTCCTGGAATGTAAAAGCTTTGAGTCGGACCATTCTAGTCAGTCGGTCGGTAGAGAGTAATCAAACAATTTTTTTAGGATGGCTAAATATTTACTTTGTTCACAGCGAGGTCCCTGGTATCCAGGTACACAACCGTAACACTCCCCTGTGTGTATGTGACATAGGCCATTCTGACAGGTATTAGGGCAAGGAAGGTTACAAGTCTCTCCATAAAATCCTGCACTTTCACAGCCTAGAATATTTTTTTTTTCACGCAGAATTAAGTAATAACTTTGTATTTGGTTTCATAAACATTATTTCATTTTAAACTTACGCTTCTCGTGCTTACTTACCGAATACTTGTAGTTCACATAGCTCATTAAAAGCATATCTGGAATAGTATTTAGGATATTCAACACCAGATTTTCTTTCGTTGTAGAATATGACATAGCGCCCATGCACAGGGCATTTTATTGTTTGGTTTTCTGAAGGTGTTCCGTTCACTTTTTGTATCTCATGGAAACAAAGATGGCTGCCCTCTCGTGAGGAAGTGTTGGAAACATAAAGGAAGAACCCAGCCAGTCGGGGAACATAGGGACTGGGGTCTGTAACAAATATAAATTCCAGATAAATTCAATATTTCTTAGTTTCCACAATTCTGAAAGAGTCGAAACTTAAAAGATGGTATGAATAATGAAAAAAATAGCGGCAATAAATGGGTATGATGCATTGTATAGTTTTTTTTCATAATGAATAGTTTTTGGAAGAATTTGGGAATAGAGAATTATGCATCTTGGAAAAGTAAATTGTGTTTCAAATTGAACTGAAATCAGACAAAAACTTAGAGGTGAAGCTTCTATTAATAGTATTTTTTAACAGACAGATAGTAAGACTGACAGTTTACTGTCGCAGAGGCATTTTAGATCTCTGATTGGTAGAGCTTGAAATACACATACGAGGTAAGTTATCTGTCCTGTAGATAATATTTATGTGGCTGATACTGTTAACTCCTCCTAGGTTGACCCACCATGTCGCTGTTGTTTGGCCATTGGCAGAGATTACACATTGTCCCGCATTTGAAGTGAGACTGTCATATTTACCGTCAACTGCTTTATCTGCTCCCCATTGATTACTAAAGTAAGGATGATCTTGATGAGCAGGTTTATTAAGAGCTAAATTTTCTGAAAAAAAAGCATAAAAAATTACTCAGATTAAAAACTATGTGCGTTTTGCTAAAGATGGTGAATTATGTTCCTAATAAATATACATCATTATCGAGATTAGTCACCAGTTGCTATGTATGGAATACTTGTTTTTTCAAGCTACATGCCACTTTGCACACCTATTTTACTTTTTGATGCGACAAATATTTTCGGTTTCCTATAGTCAACCCTGGACATTGCTATTCTCTCTATGACAAGGCACGGATCCAGGAACTGAAATAAAAGTGGGCCCTTCAAGTAGGCAGGGGGTCTTGGGGCTGCCTCGCGGGGGTCCAGAAGCGAAGCTCCTGGATTCTACAGATTTTGTAGGGTAAAAATGAGGTCTACCGAGTAAATTTTTTTTTTTTAACATTTTCTCGACGAAACTATGATTTACGCTACTTTGACAATTTTAAGGGGAGGGGTGCCCCCCCCCCCCTACTTAAATCGCCACTGATGACATTAAAAACATCTTCGCCCTATATCACTGTATAAAATTAAATGTAACTTCCACAGATTCTTCATCATATTTGGCACCTCCTATTTCATTTTTTAATCCGACTCTTATCTCGGGTTTCCTAGATCAAAACATTGACTTGACCCTTATAATCATATGGAAGGCGGAGGTATCCTTTTAGAGAGCTCGGAGCTCACAATACCTCCACTCGTTAGAGCGTCTGCTCTAGACTCGCGAAGAAAGGAGTTAATCCTAAAATCGCGGGTGGGATGTGGAGACCGGTCCTTCGGATGAGAACGCGTAAATTGAGGTCCCGTGTCGCAGTTGGTGCTGGAAGGAAAAAGATATCTCTCACTGCTCGATGGCCGTACATGTAAGTCAAGGCTCAAGGTAAGTAGTGGAGTCTAAATACGGGTAAAAAAATTCCGGAGCGGGACGTTAAACACCAAACAAATCTCTGTGGTAACCTGAATGAAATATCAGCTAAGTATATATAAAGATACATAAAGATGAAAATACTGTTGTAAACCAACAAGTAAAGGAACCCGCATATTTATGATGTTTGTATAGAAAATTCATTTTGGAAATTAATTGCAGAAGTCAAACTTACTTTTAATTCATTTTTTTTTCATACAGTAACATAAAAATAACACGGAAATACATAAAAGTTAAAAATCGCAGTAACTTTGAAGCGAAACAATTTATATATAATAACAATTACACATTGCTGTTGTGTCGGAATTAATAAATACATATCTATGAATACACTGTACTAACCTTTGTTACTTCGATCAAAATAATACAATACCCAGTATATGTACCTAAACTCGATAACGTTTGAAAATATAAATCAGTCCTCAGGTGGAGTAACTATATACTAGTAACTATCCGTACAATAATAAACATATTTTCACAGTGACTCTACATATTCTAAAAAAAAAAAATCATGAAGAATCTGTGCATATAACGAGTGTTTCTTACCGTAAGCCAAAGAAAAATCCCTTAATAAACTTATAAAGCAAAGGTAGACAAACATTGTTCTGTAATGTTCCTTTAACCATTAAAGAAATCGGGACAGGAAACTTTTACACTTGAACAATGGTTATTATTGGAAATTGGCAGTGAGGAAATAAATATATAACTTCCTTATCTTAAAAAAAGAGATTGTAGAACATGCCACTTTTTGTTAAAAAGCATAAACGGATATGTATAGTAATAGTTCGATTTATATCAACACCATGCGGAAGTTTTTCTTGTGAAAATATTTCTGGACTTTCAATATTCCTTACATACCCTTTTTTATACGGAAGTCTGTACTCGATATCTTTTTTCGAATCTTAAAACAACACATTCTGTATCTAAGGACTTAGGACTTCGCTGAATCAGGTTTGATCCACCAAGCTAGTATTGCTGTTAACAATTCTTAAACATTATTTCAACAAATGATTTAAAATCAAAATACGTCTTTTAAGATAATCACCTGGAAACCATGCTTTTACACGTACGAATTTATTAATTTTCTAGTCTAAGAAATAAGCTTAGAGATGTAGACAAGATATATGTACAGAGTATGATAGATAAGTTATACCGGTATGTACAATGTACACATACTCATACAAGTAAGAGCCTCGATTAACGTCCCTACGCTCCTTACATACCCGGACTCTTGCATCCAAAGGCCGTTTTCTAACGTGCTCGTTCCGCCTGAGATTTGAACTGAACATATGTTGCATGAAAAAAACTGTAAACAAGTAACTTTCAGGTACCTACGGGTTTGCATAGGGTATAAAAGTCACAAGAAATACAAAAATAGAATGCATTCAGTTTGCATCATAGTTCTAAATCGTAATTATTCGTCAACAGAACTTCTTTCGATCCGCATTTTTGCGGATGATTGCTAGTCAGAAAACTAGGATTCTAGAAAACTAAGGGACACACGGCGGGTGAGAACGGTCGGCAGGGGATGCTTACTACTCCATGGCACCTGATCCTATCTCCAATGGAGGTCCGTGTTTGCTCTGCTCCCATTTTGTGTTGTTTGATTGACTTTTGATCTTGAATACTGTTCGGTATCTCCACATATTTCGTGTTTTTAAAACTTTGATCGTTTATAGTAGCGCCACCATATCCCTGGGTCATCTAATTAAAAGAGCTAAGTTCACGAAGTGCAAAAATCCGCCTAGTCACCAAAGTAAATAAAACTTTCCCACATAATACTAGAGGATTTGTAGGTCATAAAACAATTTATTTTTTGATAACATCTTTTCTAGTTTTCCTTTTACAGTCATTTAAATATCGTATTGTTTTTTTCCAAATGAGTATTGTAACGTCATGACGTTGACGTTACATACAGGACAACTTCATCATGATATTACGAAGTTTATCCAAAAGTAATATTATAATCCCTACAAAATCTTAAATAATCAAAGTTTATTACTCTTATTTATTTTGAATTTTGTTTTAAAATTGCATTTGATTTTATTTGATGATTATATTATCATAAGCACAAAAAAATTGTCTATAGTCGTACCACAAGAATGTACTAAAGGCGTATAATATATATTGAAGATTCGATTACAGAAAGGTCTTGTAACGAATAGTAGTAATAAAATAATTTCAACTTTATGCAAAAATTCTCTATATGCATTCCGTTTTGCTTAATTCTTATGTGGCATCAGATTTTTAAAAAGTGTATATTTTAGAGAAACGTCATGACCATGTTATAAAATGTGACTTTGAAAGAAAAAGTAAAAAAGCAAAAAGTGACACTGGAAATGCTTTTATTCTTCAATTATACTGTCATCGCTATCGGATGTATCTATCGTTTCTGGAAGGCTGGCTGCATCTTTCACGTAAGCGGACCAATTCTTTATACCGACGTTGTCTGTATCCTGTATGTACCTGGCATATCCAAGGTACCAGAGAATGGATGCAACGTGTGCACACACACCGACCACTCGTGCACCAGTCTTGCAAAGACAATACCATGCTGTTACCTGAATATAAAATTGAACAATTTTGTTGACAGAATGATCAGTCTATAGTTTAACTGATTGAACAGGTCATTTTTTCATTTGCAATACAAATAAACTACAAATACCTCAGCTGCATTGTAAGAGATCCACAAGACATGAGACTTGGATGATACATGGCGACTTTGCATTTTCACCTTTAGTAAGTGGGGGTCCTCTCTGTGGACAAGGATGTCCTGATTTCCCTCTAGGTGCTCCTGGATGTAGAATCTTGATAGTTTGAGTTGATAGGTCCCACATGTTATTTCACGAAGCTGTTCCTCTGAGAGCTGCGGAAAATCCTGAATAGATGACGCATTTGTCCACATCGTTGTTTTTCTGCTGTTAAGATTTTCTCTCTCGACACGTTCTTTCAATGTGTTCACTTGACGGCTGAGGTGCAACATTTTTGCTGCCATCGCAACCTCATCCTCATGAGCTGAAATCAACAATATATTTGAAAAATGAGCACTTGCAGTGTATATTTTTTGATAGACAAAAAATGTACAACAGAATACATGTAGTATTACATGACACGGTTTATAATGTATACCTGATGATAGTGGAGGAAGGAACTTGTTTGAAATGGCGCAAATGATTCTGATATAATCTCCAATATGAGGCACTTGATTCGTTGGGAGAACCTTGTCTAAGTACTTCCACCTCTTTATACGGGCGTTAGCCGATTCCACTACCCAGCGGACCTTTCAGACAAAAATTATAATTACATGTAATTAATGAATAGTTTTACGTTTCAATTATGTATACATTTCTAAATAATTTTATGATTATAAATATATATACCGGGAACATGTATATTTATATATCAGGGGCATAGAGATTGACAACAAATATTCCCCAACTTAAAAGTATAGGAAATATAATTGAAAACCTGTTAGATAACCTAGTGAAACCGAAAATGTATTATTAATGAATTGGTACTTATATATTTGACAAGAAATAGGAAAAATCGAAATAATTTTCAAGTTTTGCAACATCCCCCCCCCCCTATTTTGAGTTTCAATTTTTCAGGTAAGTAAAAAAAAATATTCAAACTTTTCAAAAAATGCTATCACTGTATATATATATATATTTTTTTTTTAAGATAACAAAAGAATTGCAACTTGTAAATCTGAAATTAAAACGTTAATCTGCAAAATCTGGGTTTGTTTTCTTTGAAAACACAATCATTTCAATTGATAACATATTCAGTATATATTTTATTAGATAACAGAAACCAAGTATTTTTTTGTGTACCTTAAGATTATATAGTAGAACTTGTGTCAAACCTTTGAATATATACCTGTTTAGAAATAGATTATACAGAATAATAATGTATAAAACATGCATTGCCATATACCGGGTATATCGGTAGTAGAGTACCCTTAAAAATTTGAAATGATCATTTTATCAAGATCTTGTGTAATTTAGTTTTCTATTTTTAAATGCTTAGTGGGGGGGTTATCCCCCCACTTTTTTTGCAAAGATAGATATAATATAGGCATTGAAAATTAGGGGTTACTTTTTTTGGTGATTTAGCCCCCCCCCCCCTATATTCAATTACCACCCACTTTCAATTTGCTTCCGACGCTTATGTGCCTACTTCCCTGACCCTTTAAGCTTTGCTGATATAGTTTATACCCAGTAATGTGAACAAAAATGGCCAATGAACCTTTTTATACCTTCGTAATCAAACGGCTAGCATTAGCATCCTCTGTAGACAGTTGTTTACTTCCTTGTTTCATGAAGCTCGGGATTTCAGCTTTGATTCCAAGATCCTCCAAGAAACAGATAGCATCCCTAAAGCCTCGGTCGACAACAAATATGTCATTCTCATGAACCCAGTGTTTAATATCCTCAACATTTGACTTTAGCATGTGAGTAAGAATGTTTGCATCGTTATTTTTAATGTCTGCTAAATAGGGTCCAACAGCTGTCACATAATATCCAGTGGTTGTCACCACAACCATTGCCTTCACTAGTGGTCTCCCTTTGTGAAAACTGAAAGACCGTCTTTGAAAATGAAAATTGTTGCTCTTATGAATGTAAATATAGGTACCATCCAACACCAAAATCACTTGAGAATTGCCAGTTTCTCCGAATAGGGTCTGCGCAAGAGGTCTGGTATGTCTTTCAATAACTTCCTCTCGTGAAATATGTTGAAGGCCCAAGTTTTGTGGAACAAAGGATGCAGTGAGAGACTGTCTTACAGAAGCTATGGCTCGGCGCAAACTGGATTTAGAGATGTTAAAAATGGTAGAAAGTACTTTGTTGGAAAGTCCGGATTTCATCTTAAATAAAAAGATTCCCAAGGATGTGCGGGTGGAGCGAACAGGGGTGTTTCTAACATCTTTCAAAGACTCACACAATTCATCAAATGCATCTCTGCTTATTCCTGTCAGTGTCAAGTAATCATTATCTGTTAGATTGGAGGAATTGTCGAAATCGATTCTGCAATTTTTGTTATGCTGCGCTGTAGCACGCAATCGTTTAATGAGGTCAGTAATAGCAGTCCTGCTAAGAAACGACTCACTGGTTGCTTTTATGCGTGGCAAAACATCAGACTTAAAATCGCCATCTTCCAAGTGATTGGGACAACATCGACTGCCAGCAGGTACAATTACCTCACAGTTCAGAAAGACATTAAACCTTGCATTTGATGGTACAACCATGAGCTTTGGCCCTGCACGCTTGCACAAAAAGCATTGTGCATGGCTTTTAGGGGTGGACGGTATTGAAAGAGATACAGATGGGGGACTTGAGACAGCATTGGGTTTTCGACACTTTGGTATTGGACAATAATCGTCACTTTCTCCATTAGATTTCGGGACCTCATGAACTTTTTGTTTTTCGGAAGCGTAATACTTATGTCTGCATTTGCTGCAAAGTGTGCCATGTTTATCACAGACAGTGATTAAAAAGTTTTTCTGAAGGAAGCGATTTTCCGCTTTTGTTATCTTTCTTCTTTCATATGGTTTTGTCCGTTTGTTGCATAATAAACAGGGGAAATTTTTTGGCCCATCACCAGGCATTCTGAAATAGAAATTTTTGAAATCTTGGTTCTAGACTACTGCTTTAATTCTTCCAATTCGAAACTAATCAGACATAAAAATTTTGACAGAAATGGACTGTTTACTTTATTATCTCAAACAACAATGTCTAAGGTTTTAAGCCCACCTAAGTTGAAAGTATTCTCGGATAGTGCAGATTATAAATTATTCATATTATGACCCCCGGGGGTAGGTTAAAGCCACAATGGGGGTCAAAGTTTTACAAAGGAATATTTAGGGGAAAAAATATTTCAATAACATAAAAGTTATGTTTAGTCATATTAACATGTAAGCATCTTCATGTCGTGTAAATTTAATTTTGTTCGAATCATGACCACTCCCCCACCCCCAACTCCAAACCCAACCCCACCCTCCCGGATAGAGGATTTTTTTTTTACAAAGCAATGTTAAGGTAATTTGGTTATTTGCTCTATTGATATATATGTAGGCATCCTTAATTAGTTTAAAAATTCCCCCTCCCCAGCCAAGTAAACTTTTCAATGCTGAACCGATTTGTGCTTTTTCTTAGCCGATGTGCTCAGGTGAGCGATGTGGCCCATGTTCCTCTTGTTTGGTCATACCCAATTGCTCTTGGATGAAATCATAAAGTGTTCTGATTTTTTTGGGAGGGCACTGTTAACATTAGGAATGACATTTGATTACTATATATACAATATATTATGCACTGGCCAAAGGATCCAGGGAAGGGGGTATACACAGTATGAACGTAATGCATGTATAACATAGGATAACATTTATATTTTTATTTGTTTATCTGCTTGTCAGGGAAGTTTGCTAAATTGAGTTGATGCCTCCCTAAAATGAAAATGATTAATTATGGCCTTTTACTAGATTAAAGATAACATTATCTAAAGTTTATAAATGCACATATACAGTAGAACTATGTAAAAATGCGATTTTGTGTGTGTGTGTTTCTTTTAAATTTTATTTTTAAATATCCCTATCAAAGCAATAATGAACATCATCTTATTTGTTCGATGTTACAAGTACTATTTTGTAATAGTTAAAACATTGGCTGAAAAAAAGCTGATTAAAAAATATTATATAAAACTGGACTTCTCTAGTATTCTGTCTTTAATGGACTTACATTTAAAGAGTGGTTACTCTCTCTCTCTCTCTTTCTCTCTCTCTCTCTCTCTCTCGTTATAAGAAAGAGAAGTAACTCATTGAGAAAAGAAAATTCAAGTAGGCTCCCTTTGTGTTTTTGTTTTATTCGAGCAAACTAAGCAGTTACTGGACTAAGCCATCCACGCCATGTAAAATTCATGTTACTGCTGTCGGATTGTCTAACTATATAGTAAGTTTTTCATTTATGCTTACCTTTGCTTCAATTTACTATAACAAAACGTGCGATAGCACTTGTAACATCGATATTCAGTTTAATATTGATTTGTTATTTCGAATTTCCTATGTTGAATGCGTGTGACAAGATTTTTAGTGCCTACTGCCTAGTATCAAGATTTTTTTTATAAATAATCATTTGTTTCTTTTTAAACACCAATGGCAATTTTATAAAAAAGGGACTATTTAAGGGATTGTTAAAACGTCGAGCAACTGTTTGAAGTTAAAGGTACATTCATTAAATTGGAATTTTTATGAATCCGAAGGACTGGAAATTTTTCATGAATGTGATGTTTGTTGATGCAGACGTCATTTGACATCGATGTACGATATCGGATATGTTTATAATGTGGATAAACAATCTCAATTCAAATTGATACACACCTTCTGGTAGTTGCATCCGTTGTAATATGAATCTTCTAGGTCATTTGATCACTCAGGATTGAATTATCAAAAACTTTTACCGAATTCAATAAAATGTTCGATCATCATGTTTTTTTCGAGTTGTTCCCCTTTGATTACATAGTGACCATGGCGACAACGAGATCGATATCAAAACACACAAACAAACACACCCTACTCACACACATAATGATACCTCATAATTTATAAAGCTTTTATTTATAAACATTTCATAATTATTGCAGTTAATTAGGTCAGGACCGAATATTCAAATACAGTACCAAACTGAAAGTCGGTATAAGTTGTAGACCTGTAACACGTTTCAAATGACAGTACTGCATACTGTCAAATTTAATGACAGATTTTCGTGTTTATTTGAAATAATATCCTATAAAATATATTATTAGGAATGGTATTCGGATTTATAAACTTAAAAAAAAAATTCATAAGCAATATAAATCAGCTTCTTGTGGATAAACCACATAGTTCCCTTATGGTGGTCGGCACTGCGAGGCTTGACGCTTAAGAAAAAGTAATATTTTCGATGTGGCCACACCTCTTGAACAAAATAAAAATATGCTTTAAGAATTCCTCTTTTTATTCTTTATTTAATGGCATAAATTTTATTTTGTTCAAAGGGTGTGGCCACAGCAAAAAATTAAAAAGAAGACGGAAAAACGATGCATTTTGATCAGAAAAGAGCAAAGTGCACGTGTTTCGACGTTTCCTGTACAAATATGACGTCATAATATATAAAAATCGACATACACTTTTTAAGTTCGATACCTAGGGGTAATATTTTTATTATAATTTTCCCTCTTAAATTCAGTTCAATTTTCCTGAAAAAATAGGCCGATATATGCACTTCGTGAATTAAGCTCTTTGATGTTAGATCCTCTCGCATATTTACTACGCTAACAGGTAACAACATCCAATAGAGGGTCACGTTAGAGGTCATATTCGGAACAACTCTTGACTAATTGTCTTCAACAAATATATGATTTTGTACGCGAAGACTTTATTGTTTGATAGAATTTGACCTCTGACGTGACCCTAGAGATCTATGGAATGTTGTAAGATGTTAGTTTAGCGAGTAAGCGAGCAAATCTAACATCTTACTATCCCCTCGCACAATTAATTGCGAAGGGGATATAGCATATCGAATGTGCGTATGTGTTAGTGTGTCCGTTACAGCTTGTGGGCAAGGTTTACATTTACATTACATTTGCATTAAACACTCTCAGCCTTTACGTACTTGTGTGGCATTATAAAAGAACAAAGCCTTTTCATTTTCAAATTAATCGACGGAATACTTCATAAAATACAATGAAGCGCATTGAAGTGGTAAAATTTTCCGTTCGAATGGAACGTTTTGAGCTATCTTTAGAACGTTTATGACACGCCCATTTCTTTAGAAATGGAAAAAACGGTCAATTTGTTTATTCGAATACCTGTAGAACAGGTTTTCCATAAATATAATAGCCAATGAAATTGACACCCTAAATAAATACCGAGTAAACACGTGTTCGACCAAACCATGTGTTGTGGTAACTTCAATAGACATGATAAGTTCAAAAATATGTACATATTTGTTGCATTTTGTGTTTTACAGAAGCGGGGAGTCTCTAATTCTCTCTTCTTATTTTTTCAAAGCTCCATTTCAGTGTAACTAATATTGCTTGTCGCGAAGATTGGGGTGTTCTAAAACATTACGACGAATATTTCATTTTCGTTTCTAAAAATATGGGCGTGTCATTATGTTGTAATTGACGTTCAAAACATGACTCAGAACGTTTCGTCCAAACGGAAAATTTTACCACTTCGATGCGCTTCATTGTATAGCGTTTTACTAATTGTACCTTCTAACCCTGAATTTTTGTGTACGCGACTTGACAATGCTCACTTCTGCTTATTCGTGTTGCTTCAATAAACCGAAGTTTTATGTACGACTTGACAAATACCACTTGTGCTTAATCAACCTGGTAATTCGGGTTCTTCTTCCTATCAAGTGCAAAACCATTTAAGTATTATCACTCTTTGCGTGAAGGTGTGAGTGTCTATATACAGTGCTCACAAAATTAAAAGTTTAAAAGAGTAAAAGCGCAGAGAAGTGACATCTAGTGGCTGGTCTTGAAGCTGTCCAGGGTCTAAGCCTCCACCATTCCCCCTGCTAAGGAATTCCACAGGCGGATGGCTTGAGGGAAGGAGGAGGTTTTTTACACTTTTGTCCTTGTGTGTGGTACCAGGAATCGCAGGGTGTAGCCTCGGGTCCTCGACGATTCTGGGTGTAAGTAGCTCTCAGCCAGGATGTCCACAAGATGATAACATATCCTATACACCATGATAACTTTGGCCCTTTCCCGACGGATCTGAAGTGACTGCCATTGGAGTTGCTGTAGCATGGATGTTACACTGCTTGTGCGCTGGTATTCTCCAATGGCGAAACCCTTCGTTGGACTGCCTCAATCTTCTTGATATTATCTACCCTAGCTGGGCTCCACACACTGGAGGCATACTCGATCCTGGGTCGTACCAGTGTGGAATAACACTGTGCCTTGATGTTAGGTGGACACCGGCTGATGTTTCTGCCAAGGAAGGCCAGGGTGAAATTGGCCTTCTTAGTAATTTTTTCAGGCCACATGAACAGCATATTCAGCTGACGTCAGAAGGAGCGTTGTATTGGTACATCTGACTTGGCATACCTAGGCATCCTACGTGGTACCATTGGTCACAGTTATCACATGCAATAGCACGCTGACCCCATCTGCAGGCCTTGTGACAAATCTGGCATGGGTACTTGGGTGAGCGAGGGCCAGGGTTAAGCTCACAGTCAGCTGATCTAAGCAGTAGTAGAATGCTTATGTATAGCAAATGGTCGTTCTTGCTGCGCTTCATGAGTGATTAAGCGCCATACATGGAGGATTTTGAGATGAAATAATGAGACATAACTGATGTTATGTTAACAGAGGGCTGGGTAACAATTTTATCACTATAAGTAGCTACAAACAACCAAGAGAATCGTTGACAAGGTCAGTACGAGTGTCGTGGTTTATATTTTGCAAAACCGGAATTTACCGGTGAACTGTTTTAAGTTTATGTTCAAAAAAAGTATTCTTAGAATTTACTGAGTAGATATTCTTATCTGGATTGCTTGGTAGGTTGTTTGAGTCAGGAATCTGTTTCAGAGAGATGTATCTTTTACTAGTTGTTGGACTTGTCAACAAAAACCTAAAAAATTCATGAGCTCAGTACACCGACACCCGTCACCTCACGCATGCGCACCGAGTGAGGATGACGATAGACTCGCTCAGCAAGTATTACTTCGTACATGTATTTGTGCATTGTCATATAATTATGCGTATTTTGAGACAGTCTGTTTGAGTTAAAATGCCATCTCGAATGCAAAGTAATTGAAATAAATTGATGAATGTCGCGGTTTCATCAGATGCAACGTCAGGAATTGCTAATCAACGTTGTATAACGTCAAACGACGTCAATATGAATTTTTAACATGCAGTGTTTTAAAATGTTTTTATAGAATTACATGTAATCCAACGGAAGTAATTATTAATAGTTTTTTTTGGACAGAACCTTGGTTAATATACTATTTTCGATAAAGCAGATCATTAAAACAAACTTAGTTGTATTTTTAATTTTTAGCCGGGTTATTGCTCAAAGAGCAATTGCCGGCTTATGTGATCCTGTTCAAGGCAGGATGTTAACCCAATAGTTGCCATTTTAAAGTTACGTGCAAAAATATAGCTCTTACTCTCAACCGCTTTTGAGATAATACAAACGCTAAATAAAGCAAAAAAAATAAAACAAAGTTTTATCTATATAAAATAAACATTTGTAGTAATGAATTTGAAAACTTCATAAGTCAAAGAACATAGTTCATTAGCGTAAGGATTTTTGATAATCAATGTTACCGTAGTTCTCTACACATACGAGGTAAAGCAGGAGAGGGAACCAGACTGGCCTGTTTGTTTAAATTCAGCTGCGGTACCAGATTAATTCTGACAAAATCGGACCGTGGTATTAGGATTGAAAAACTCACTGTCAGTGTCTTATCATTTACTACTATATTGATAGTTTTAAAATAATTTTTTCATCAGAATATAAACGTGATTCATGTAAGAATTCCATTCTACTCTGTAAATGAGCCGGGCTCTCTGTACTTCTGAGTACTTTGATTACATTCATTATTGTATTGATTTATTTTACAGGTACAGCACTGAACTTACTCAGCACCAATTGTCATGGGCAACAGTTAACCATGGATGCGCTGATTTGAACAACATATTAGGGTTGATTGACCTGGTGCTCTCACTGCCTGCTACATCAGTGAGGAATGAATGCCTTTTCTCCACTATGAAATTGGTGAGGGGGAAGAGGAGAGGTAGACTGGCCAATTCTACCCTAGATGACTTGCTACTCATAGCAGTTCAATCACCCCCAATCAGTGATTTTGATCCAGATGATGCCATCTTTCATTGGATGGTATGTACCTGTATAATTCCAATTTTTAAAGGAAATACTGGACATTCAAACTTAAAAAAAGAACTTTATTACATAAATGGTCTACTGCTTTTAAAAGTGTATTTAAATTTAATATAAAATAATTATTCCAATCCAAGTTATTGAATTGTTATATTACAATGTTTTCAGAGCACACCGGGTTCTAGACGCTTTAATTATACTAGACAGAAGAAGGATACCAAAGTGAGGGAAAGATCTGAATCAGTGGTCATTGTGGATGAAATATTTACTGTGGCTACAACTGAAAATGTGGATGAGGTTCCAGTCAACAGCATTGAATCAACAGATGAGATCAATGATGAAACTGGACTTGACAATGTCCCATTCAGGGATGAAGATGAAGACTCAGATGGAGATATTGAAGAATCGGATGAATCTGATAATGAGCAATCAATTTATGAAAACACTTCTTTGATAACCAAATACAGGGAGATGGAAATGGAATTAGAATATGATCTATAGTATAATGAATGAATTATTGAATGAAATGAAAGTGTGTGAAATGAAAAAAATTACTTGAAAGAAAAAAGTGTGTGAAATGAATTTAAACAGTGTAGAAAATTCATTGGTTTATGTATGTCTAGTAAAATTTTCTTTGGGCTAGTAAAATTCTTGGCTTTACTAGCCCTACTGGCTAGTGGCCTCAAAAAGTTTTCGTGAAGACTGCAATGGCAATATGTAATAAAGATTCTGTGAAAGTTTCATTAAATTTCACTCAGTAGTATAAGAGGAGTTGCGGATAAGAGAAAAAGCGTAACAGACGGATAGCCGGAAGGACGGAAATCCCGATTACTATATACCCTCCCACTACTAGTCACTTACTGTCATGTTCACAAAACACAGTCACAGAGTTTAAATAGGGATACAAAGCTTCTCCAACACAAGCAAAATTAACAAGCACTATAATTCATTCACATAAGTTATGGTCACAAAACACAGAGTTCAAAACGGGCTGTACAGGCGTCCAAGCTTCTTCCAAGATGTGGAGATGTCCCCCATGGCATAGGTGCTCCACAGCTGGAAAATCCTGGCCTGAACCTAATATGAAAAATAAGACAGGTAAGATCCTTCATCAAGTAATAAAATAATTCAAAAGTTATACAGACAATTAGGTAAGATTCTTCATCAACTAATAAAATAATAAAAATGAAAGTTGCATAAAAATAAATTTTACACTCTATTTGAGTACTTTAATTGTTCATTCTTATAATAAATATCAATTTTTAATTGAAATTCATGTTACCTTTCTGGTGGACTTCCTCTGCAGCCTCTGCAGTTTCCCCTTACTGACCAGACGTCTCTGCAGTGGGATGAGGTTGGCTTCCTCCTTCAGGTCTAGGGGGACGTACAATGGAAGGTTGTTTGAGCCTTGGGCCCTCTGCAGATTCATCCACGTGTGCCAGCCTTCAACCTGAAAAAGTGAGTTTCAAATTATTATAACCACAGTATATATTTATATATTTTCAGTACATTGTATCGAAGTTAAGTAAATTTTACAATATTAACTAGTAAAAAAGGTTTAAAGACGATTTCTATAATTTTTTTTCCGAATTTATTATTTTTCTTTTTTACATATTTCCTTCCTTAGAGTATGCTTTATGCAAATATAAAAAGAAAAGGTATGGTTATCAGATTAGTTTTTTTGTTGTGAAGAATTTTTAAAACTGACCGTTAATCAATTATTGAGTGAAATTCTGACCATTTTTCAATTACACACTATCTTAAAAATATACTACTTTTTATATATTTATCAGAGTTCTAACTTTTTCATTTTATCATACAAGTCAGTATACACTACAAACAAGATGTTGAATTCAGATATTGATTGAATATAAGAAAAAACACAAACAGAATATCATTTTTCAAATTATCATTTATCTAACCAAATGTACATTGTTTTCGCATAATTTATACAATTTACGCATTAAAAAGTCAATAAAAAAAGTTTGACGAATTTATTTTTTTTTAAATTCATACATATTGTACATTTAAGTATACTGATAATAATGATATAAAGAAAAATGGGGGTCATCATATTCATTTAGTAAATAAAACAACATTTGCTAGCACGATGTTAGACGTTTTTCAATGTCAGAGGTTGTAAAATATGCATCAACATAAGAAAAACATACATTTTTTCTTAGATTTTGATTTCAATTACAAAAAAACCCCAATGCAACATATTACATCTGAAATTCCTCTTTAAGGGGTCCTGACCCTCTCCTCTAAATTTCACTATGGAAATTTTAAATTTCTAATATTGATTTTCATGAACACAACAATGACTTTAAAACCAAATACAAAACCTTATACAACGTGGTATAATGCAGGTTACATACAGGGTTTTGTTTTTCTTATTTACAAATTTACATTAGATCTATGATGAATTTGTGAAAAATTTAAAAAAGAAGTTATCCTTCTTAGCAGAGGGATAATGTCCCTTAAATGCTGAAATTAAAAAACTACAGAAATATTATTTACTTTTCTAATTGGTATGGCCATATATACATTCAAATGTTTACAGCTATACAGAGCTTGTAAAACTAAGATGCAAAAAAACTATACATGTACAAATACAGCCAATTAAACGTCTAATGTCTATTGTTACATTCAGCTAAAATTTGTTTTGCCTTACTGTTTGTCTTCAAAATACTTATTTACTTTTTCAAGTAAACATTTTTTTGATGTTACTCGAGGTTTCCCATCGAATTTTTCAGACAAGAGTGTTTTTAAACCACCTCTGGTGTGAGCAAGTTTTAGATGACCTAAGTTTAATCCACTTTCAGCAATCTTTTTACACATTTGCTTTGAAAGTATCTTATCATTGCATAAAACTAACAAGGTGTTTAAGTTTTTATCTACAATTTTGTCAAAAAGGTACTTCTCAACCAAGGTATGCATACTTGAACTGTGGCGTACAAGAACTTCAGTGCACGGTTTTACATGTTGAACAAGTTTTTGAAGAACAAGAACATCATCCTCAGCATTGTGAGCTGCATAGTTTTCATTTAAAAAATATGTAACAAGAAACTCTTGTGAATATTTTTCCAGACCAGGATAAACTTCTCTAAACAGAAGTAGTGTGTCTACTACACCTAATACAACTGGTTCTAAAGCATGAAGAAAATGACAAATTTCAAAATTTCGTAAGACCCTAGGTAAATCAAACCTCAAGAAATTATGTCCTACAAAAATACAAGGCTTTTGATCATCTAACCATGCCAGAAATGATGCCAATGCAAGTTGCAATGAAACGGATGTTACAGGAGTACCATTCAAATGCAAAACATTTCCATGAACAGTCAGTCCAGTGACTTGAGAAGCTGCTGTTGAAATTCGTTGACTAGGTAAGATGTATTTCGAAAACTTGCCATTTTCTGAAACAGCCGCAATCTGAATGATATCACACATTTTATTAAGAGATGTTGTTTCGATGTCACAATACACAAAGGTATATTTCTTTGGTAATATACATGGAGTGACAGTTGGTACAATGCTTGGAGCAGGTATTTCTTTGACAAACTCGCCGTCAGATTGTGTCAAATCAACAGATGACTGATAAGTTACTCCTTCCCGAATTTGAGAAGCGGAATTCATGGTACTGTTTTTTAATTTTCTTTCAAGTTTTCTTTTTTTGAATTCTCTTGTATTTTCATACGCGAGTCTGCGTTTGCGCGTTTTGTCTTTTTTTTCTGCAAGTTTTTGAAAAACTCGTCCAGGCGAAACACCCACCAGTTCGTTAACTTTGTTGACGTATGTTGAGCCCATGTTTTTCTCTGCTACTGCACAACTAACTCTATTTTGCAAACTAGATGATGAAGAATAGTGCAGTCTTTTGGGGGCTTTTGCAGCAATTGAATTATTGAATGATTCAACATCTCTAGTAGATGCAGCAGGGGAAATCTTGTGAGCATTATTGATAAATGTTTCAAATATAATGTTCAGGTCATTTTTTAATTCATCACCCTGTAGATCTTTTCCAGATGGAAGGGACTTGTGGCGGAACTCTTCAGGATTAGTTTTATAAGTACACCATTTTGAGTCACACTGGTCATGCTCTCCAAAAGCATGTGGCACTATTTGCTTTAGGTTTTTCTTTAATGCTTCTGTATCATTTTTATTTTGTACAATAGCGTAAGAGAAGCATTTTTGAAAATACTTGACACAATTGTTGTTGAAATTCTTGTGTTTCTTTTGTAGTTGGTATAAACTGTTACCAAGATGCTTTTTAGTGTGACTAATGTCACTCCATTTGATCACCGGATGAGGAATTTCTTCATTGATTCGTGCCATTGTTGTGCAGTCGTCATCCATAACTAACACTGATACTTCAACATTTTCTTTTTCAATTTTGTTCACTAATTCAACTGCAACGTTACTCTCCATTGCTTTTGACGAGCCCTCCCAATTTTTACAGCACTTATGTTCTGGAGGAGTTTTCCCCATATTTGTATGAAAGGAACATTTGCGACAATCCTTTGATCGAACACCAAAGCCACATATTTTCCCGGACTTGTTGCCGATTAATGTTCCCACTCCAGATTTACTGTTATAGGCCCTTCCTGACCCACGCTTCTGCCATCCCATGTCGTACTTAAACTCCCCAGAGCTGCGAGCCTGCTGACCGTCATTGGATTCATTTACACTGGAAACAAGAAAACTCATTTTAAGACTCGTAAGAAATAATGTATACCGGTATATATTTTATAGCAAAAGTATAAGAGTGAGTCATCAATTATTCATAACAGCACTTCCTTTTTTTTTATAAATTGTGCTTATCCTAGCTCACTTTAGCATGTAATCAAATCTGGCCTAAGGGTTATATATAAACCAGCCCCAATTTGGACCTATCAGTGTGAAGTTGATCTTTGACCTACAGAACTTGAAACAGTATGGAAACCTGTCATTTCAGTGTGTTATAGAGGATGGAGATGATGGACACTTTGGCATAACATGATCTTTTGGGTATATAAAAACCATATAGCATGTACCTTCTTGCTGATACATTGCCCTGTATTTCCTCCAATAAGGCCTCACTGCATGACTGCTGGGCAACAGATTGGATATGTGGCTCCACTTCACACTCACGGGCTTTCATAGTTCTATGGTGCATACCCTCTATCTCTATGGAAGACATAAAGTTGGTGACCTGTGTGTGCCCGGATCCACTATGAAGCATACCTGTATAATAATTTAAGGTCACTTTATATATATCTAATCGTATGTCAGTCTAATAACAAAACATATGAAGAATGTTAAAAAATCAAAAACAACAAATTACTGGTAGAAATTATGGCTGATAATGATATAAAGGAATATTAAAGTTTTCTTATGATAGGAAAGCAATTACATATTTTCAAATCAAACAATTAAATTCAATATAGCTTTTAAATAATTGTTTCTATCAAAGCTACATTTTTAAAAGTGATAAAAGAGTCATTATTCTAATCTAGTAGGCAAGC